TCTAGAGCTTTAATTATATTTTGTATGCAAATGCCAGCCCGTAGCAGGAGGAGAGGGAAGGATGGTAGGGAGATGCTGGTAGAAAGTAACATCATTGTTTTATCTTCCTGTGGATTTTACTTTGAGAAAGGAAAGGACTGGCAGAGTATCTCTGGTCTGTGGACTGTTTCCATGCCTGCTGCTGAGGGCCTGCCCCAGTGCAAGTGGGGTTCCTGGGGGAGCATCTGGCCTGGCTGTGAGCACGGGGCTTTCTGAAGGGAGCGCTGGGGTGAGCCTTGCGGACCAGACCCTGCCATGGTTTCCTCTTCTTCCTCTCTTTTCAGTTCCTCTGCAACAGTGCCGGGCCCCGGCGTGGGCAGAGGTCTCGCGGGGCCGCCTCCAGGTGCCGGTTTCAGGCCGGGGAGCGTGGATTAACCCCTGCTGCACGTCCCTTCCCCCGGCTGCCCGGCCCCCCGCCCGCCGGCCCGGCCGCCTCCTTTGTGCCGCCCGCATCCTGCCAGGCAGGTGTCAGAGCCCTGAATGCGGGCGAGGGCCCTGCTGATGGATACCACAGATGGAGCGTGGAAATCGGCAGAATGGGCCTCAGCCACAGGCCATTTCTTAGGACCCAACAAAAGCCTCCAAATAAGTCAACAAAAATCCCAAAGATCACAAAGAGAAAGTGTCATTTGTCATTTGCCGCGGGTCTGTGTGGGGGTGGCTGCCCTGCCGTGCTCCTCCTCGCCTGCACCCGAGCCGACACGCCGGAGGTCACCCGCGTCCCCTCCTGCCCGGCGGCACCCGGCAGCGTGGCCGACACACGGAGGTGCTGGGGCCATGGCCGTGGTGCTGGGAGCACGGCCTGCACAGCTCGTGCCGTGTTCTAGCCGGACCCCTGGCCAGACAACCTGTCTAGGGGCTCGGAAGAAAGGGTGAAATATTTTATTCAGTGGCTGCCAGAAGAGCTGTGCCACGGCAGGCTGCGGGACGATGGCCCTCTGCCCACCTCTGCGGAGTGCAGTGTGCTGCATCTATCATGTCTGGTTTTTAAATGGTTGTCATGTTTTTGTTATTTAATTATTCAAATGAAATGTCTTGCTGAGAGGAGAAACAGTCCAGGGAATGACCTCTTGTGCATTATTTTGTCATTTGGTTTTTGCCCCGACACGTCTATTTACAGTGTTTGGAAAGCTGATAATTGCAGAGTTCCACGTGAGCTGTGAAGCTGAGCAGGACCTTCTTCCTGCTGCTGCGCTAACCAGGATGAGGCCTCTCCTCAGGCTACCAGGCAGGTCGTGATGGCTGTGGGACAAATGATTGCCCTTTAATGCTGCAATTTCTTCCTTAATTAAACCTCACGGTTCAGCTACTGGTGGTGCTTTGGGCTGCCGCCCCTGTGGTGCTCCGTGTGGGGAGGAGAGAGGCCAGGAGCTGTGCTTACAGCCTGCAGGGCTGGAGTGCTTGGATCGTTAGGATGGCTGTGAAGGTTAGCAATACACGAAGCATGGGTCTGTGGAGGTGGAAATAGCTAAAAACAACCACCTCTTCCTGTGCTGAGTGGTGTTACGCTGTGGAAGTTTGTGCCTCTCTGTGGAAGTTGGCTCAGTCAGAGGGCCATAGGCTGTGGTTATGGAGCTGATAGCAAATAAATACTGCAGAGGCTGAGGTTTGTCCGATTTGTGCGCTTAGCCAATGCTCTGGTAGGCTTCTCGCCTATATAAAGATTTAATAATAGTATTTCATTAATTGAAAAAAAAAAAAAAAAAGGATAGAAACTTCCTTAAAACTAATGCTATTTAAAAACACTTAACAGGAAATAAAAATAGTGTAGTCTGTTGAGAGACACGTAGGTACTAGTTTTTAGATTACATTTGTCTGATTTTTAATATTGCCGATCAGCCAAGACAAAGGAATTCAGTTTTCAGTAAGGCTGCTCCCAGTAGCCAGGCCAAGCAGAGGTGATACTGATGAAATCAGACGAGTATGAAAACCGTTTAAATGGATATGTATTTTCTCCCTGCTTGAGTTTCATTACTTTATCTCTAAATGTTATCATTTGTGTTAGGCACATAATCTGGACTATTGGATGTTTTGTTCTGTGTTCTTTTGCTGTTGTTGTTGTTTTGTTTTTTTCTGACTGGAGTATCTTCGTGCATTTCATATAATGCTTATTGTAAAGTAAAGCTAAAATGAAATTAAGTTGGCTTCTTGTTCTCACCACGGTGTGAACAGAGGGTGCAGGGAAACATTTAAGTTTTTACTAAGTCTTTCTGAAGCATTTTTAGAAAGATCATTATAGCCTTCCCGGTACTCCCACCCAGTTAGTTGAGGGTGTTCAGGGCAGATATAGAGAGATAAGTAGCCACTCTAAATTGCACCATTTAAGTTAGCTTGCCTCACTCAGGCACGTGTAGGTGCAATGGGTATCTGAGGCAACACAGGGAAATGATCTCTTGAAAAAGTTCTGTGTTTTCTTTGTTTCTGAACCAGGAAGCAGGTCTCACTGACTCACTAGGGTTGGGTTTCCAACTGAAGATTTGGGATTTGTCACTATCTCAATCTGTTGTTTATTCTGGGATGCCCTAGATTTGCAACTTCTATAAGGAATGAGTGTGAACTACTTGGGATAGGATGTTTGTGTTCGTTCCCCTATGTCTTAAGGGACAGTATTCTCCAGAAAGCTAAATTCAGTCTTATTTGGAGTAAAGCTTCCACACAAGTAAAAGACTGAGTTGGATGTTCGCATCTGTGGGGGTTTTCTGCTGATGCGTTGTGTACGTTGGGTCCAAAATACTTATGATGTCTGGACAGTGAAGATAGCTTTCACAGAAGAGCCTCTTGGCTAGAGTAATTATTTTTTTCTTGTATGCAGAATTTCATAAACTCTTCAGTGGACTTGTCTGTAAAAGCACTTTCTTTCCCATGCTGTAAGACTAAATAAACAGATTAAGTGTATTTATTAGTTTGAACAGCTTGAGCTTCCATTGGAAATGGAAGATAGCTATAATTGAAAGAGGTGAAGGATTTAAGCTGCAGCCTGAGGAACTGAGTTCTTGAGTTTCTGTTCTGGCTTTCTGTTCTCAGTTACTTTCAAATAAATCATGTTAAGATTATTCTAAATCAATGTCTCTATCAATAATTTATTTGGAATTATTGAAGGAGTAGAAGCAATGCTTGCATTTCCACAGAACAGGCAGTTTCATCATCACTGGGGAGTGTCTGCCCTCTTTAGGTGGTTTTCCTTGAAGGCTTGGGGAGGAAAGAATGCTTGTTTTCTGGGACAGCAGCAGATGCAAGTGAAGACTGGCTTTGGAAGTCTTTTTTTGTGTGTGTGTGTATATGCGTGTGTGTGTATGTGCGGTTCATGATAGTTGGAGAAAGTAAACGTGGTTGGGTACTAAATGAGGCTTTGCTGCCCTCATCACATCTGTAGCTATGGGCTCAGCCAAACCGGGCTGTGGATGGTGTTACTCCACCACTGACAACCTATTGTCAGCAAGGTTAGGGCAGTGCCACAGGGCTTTGGTGTCAGGGCAGCTGAATGTGGGGTAATTGCTTGAAACTTGGCATGCCAGTGCATCCATGAACTCCTGTTAGCCTTCAATGATGCCAGGGATTTACTTCCTATGGGTGTGTGAGCTCACGCTCACTGTGTCTCCATGTTTTCCTTTATTTCCAAAAGATTAAATTAACTACATAAGGTGCTAAAATAATGCCTGTGAAGCTGAATCTCTCAGTTTTTCTAGGAGACTTGAAGATAGAGACTGGAGTGCAAGTGGTACCTTGGGACAGGCAACAAAGAACTGGGGAAAAGATCAATGGATCTAATAAGATGCAGTTTTCTGGGCACAGCTTATCCTTTTATGTGAAGTATAGTGATCAGAGCTGATCACTGGTTCTGATTTCACTGTAAATGGCTGATTGCAAAGAGTGGTAGGCCCTGTCTCGGGAGTGGATGTGCTATACATGGTCTGTTTCTTGGTGACCCTCCTTAAGTACCAGCTCAGGGCACAGTGAGAGAGACCTCTGGTCTAACACCTGGGCTGTCTGTGCTCACGTCCTGGAATGGTTCCTGGAAGCTGAGCCATTGGCACAAACCTGCATCTGCCTACAGCCATTGCCTGTGCTGGGATGCCTCCCAGGCCTGGGAGGAGTAATGAAGAACTGTAAGGCAAAGGAAGTAAAGTCGTCTGTGTGTTTCAGTTTTGGCTGTTTCATGCATCTCCTTACTTTAGTAACAGGAAGAATCAAGAAGAAAAAATATTGCTCTGAGCTATTTTTACAGGACTTCTCTGTGCAACTTTTTTTTTTTTTGAGTTACCACTTGTCTGGACTGTCCTAAGGTTATTAGGTGGTCCTAAGGCAGACAAATAAGTTGCAAACGAGCAGGAATGCTTAAGTGTGCCAAGATACACCAGTACTACTCAGAGTGTAGAACGAATATTACAGAAGACGTAAGGAAATATCTGAATATGTAGGAGAATTAATTTCTTCACTGCTGCTCCCCATAGCTTTGTCGTCACTTCCATAACCATTTCAGCAATAAAGATTTACTTACAAATCTGTAGGGAAAGTCTCATGCACTGCATCTATATGTTTAAGCTGCAGAGCACACACGGTGTGACAGATGTTTGCATCTGCACAGCAGGTAAGGGAAGAAGGCAGCACTGATGTCTGATCAGACCGAAGAACTGCTCCAGGTTTTTAAATCTGAAAATTATCGGAGTTAAAATGAAGAAATTCATTAATTCGTTCACTCAAAAGTAGAGATCCTTATATATTTTTGAGTCAGGAAAAGGTGCTAAACTCATAACTGAATTGCTAATCCTTTTGTTTGAGCACATTTGCACAGCATAACATTTAACTCTGGTTTGTTTCTCCATTTATTTGCTGTTTTGAAGTTTGCCAATTCAGTTCTGAGACAAAAGCACTTTTTTGACATAAGATACCAGCAATGCTTTCTTTTTTTTTTCCCCCCCTTCAACTAAAGCTAATGTTTTATTTTTATTTTTTATTTGGAGCATCAGCACCCCAGTCCGATGAAGGCTCTGATATCGATTCTGAACCAGACTTACCTTTAAAAAGAAAGCAGCGTCGCAGCAGGACAACCTTCACAGCAGAGCAACTGGAAGAGCTGGAAAGAGCTTTTGAGAGGACACACTACCCTGACATTTATACTCGGGAAGAACTCGCACAAAGAGCCAAACTCACAGAAGCTCGAGTTCAGGTATGAATTTAGAGCCTGCCTAACAAAGGGAAATTCCTATTAATGCGACAGTCCTTTAATATTCTCACACGATCCTGCTCTAGGTTAGAAGGAAAACGTGAAGCTACAGTATGTACAGCCTGAGGGATTTTTTACATCTGTACATGGACAATGATTTTCCAACTTTAAAGCAACAGCACAGTCAGCCTTCACAGAAGAAGGTCTGCTATCCCAGTTTGTTTATTTTATGCATTTGACAGCACTCTGCATATAATCAGTTCAGCTGTTGTGCCAGTTTATAGTTATGTAACTGATTTCATCTGTTGTTGTTTGGGTCTTTCAGGCATTAACAGAGGAGAGAAAAACATTTTAAAAAGGACGTGTTTATAGAGCCATGCAAGTGAGCGTGGTAACTGGTGCAGTATCTACAGTTCACTATTAGGTTAACTTTTGAAGTTGACTCGATTTAAGCCTTCTAACAACTCTTCTATGCCCATTGTCTGTTTAATTCAAAACAAAATAAACCCTCAAATAACAGTTAGGTCTTCACAGCTTCATGTTGATCTGGCTTGCCTAAAACAAGTGCTGGAGGAGTGAGTAAATCATGCAATTAACTTAAGTTTAAAAAAAAAAAAAAAAAAGCTTGAACCTGGATTTTCCAATGTCCACAATTGGCAGCTAGAAGCCAAATAATTCTGGAACAAACTGGACCTAGGAGTTCAGATTAAGATCTAGGATTCAGATTAAGACTTGCTCTGTTCACAACACAGAATCGTGTCCTGTGAGATGTTTAGCACTGCAGGGAGAATCCTCTGGTGCTCTTTTATTAATTGACATCCAAGAGGGATTTGAAAAAGATTGTCCTGTTTAAATCAATCCGGAGTGCAAGTATTTGTAAGCAAATATGTGGTTGGCTGACAAGAAAAGTGTGTGGTAACTTGTGAGCTGACCAAGGATCCAGGTGAATTTGGTGCTTTGGTGAAGCTGTTTTTATCTTTTGACTCTTTGAAACTCAGCCTGAGGCATTCAGACTGCAAACTGAAATAGGCAATTCAGAATATCCCTCCAACCTTGTAAGGCAAGCATGCCTATTGTAGCCTGCCTGCATTTACTGAGTGGCTGTCTTGAAGAATCCTGACTTTGTCAGTTTTACCTGCTAAATGTTTTTGTAGAAGACTTCAGACCAAATTTCTTGCAAGTGTTTGTTATGACTGTGAGAGAAAATCAGATATATGGATGAATTTGTCTGGAGGGCAAACTCAGTGGTGCATGACTCTCTTCTTAAAATGTTTACTAGGTATAATGCTTGCAAAACAGCTTTGTATCTAAACAAAAAAGCCAGGTAAGACCAAATCAAGCCCTGGAAATCATCCACGCACAAGCATAATAAAGATAGCTTCCTACATACATCCCCTTAGCAAGGCAAACTTGATGTAGGATATGATGGTTTATGTTAGCTTCAGTGGAAAGATACGATAAAATGAAAAAGACCTTGTTCGTGTTTTTCTAAATCAATGACCCACAGCTAGAAGAAAAGCAGAACTCTCATTAACATAACAGCTGTCTTAATGTGGCTTTAACCCTGTGACTTTTTACATTCCTTATGGCTTCCTTGGTTCCCTTGAGACACATCTTGTCTCACACCACTCCTATGATCTATAGCCACACAAATTCCCCAGTACCTCTGACATATGGATATTTTGCCTAACCCAGCATGGAAGAAAGTTTCCAGTCAATCAATGATTGAAACACCAGAACAAAACCTTTCTGGCTTAGAGATGAGCTGGGGTTGAAGTAGCCAGCCTGTGGGTAGTTTTGTAGTGCACTCCATCTGTCTGGTACCCTTGAAGGGCTGGCAGAGTGTTTTAGCAGTGGATTAAGGGATACAGGATTTTCCTTATCAGCATTCAGCACCTCTCTACAGCCCCTTAAAATAGCCACCTATGATGGGCATGAAATAAAAGAAGACCTGTGAAAGGAAATAACCCTGAGAGACTTGAGCCTAAGAGGGCTGGAGAGCCATACTGATGCAGCATTCAAGCTCTCTTAGTCACATTTCTTTTTTGGTAAGAGTATGAGAGAGATCAGAGATACCAAATTTTATGTGGATGTATACACAGAGATCTCTTTGACTGCTACTTCATTAAAGATTTTGTAGAAGAGTATAATGTACCCTTTGCAGCCCGAATTTGGGTGAGATTCGAACATTATTATTTTCTCTTGAGATTTTCTAATGGGATTTTCTATAATGACAGATCTCATAGAGTTGTTTTACATTGTCTAGGATGTTAGCTAATTAATGCTTAACTGATTACAACAGAACGTATGAGCTATTCTTTCAGTCCCCCCATGTTTTTCTTTTTCTCTGCCAGTCCTGTGCATCCTCTTTCCCTCTATTCCCAAGGGGTGATCTCCAAACACTCATGAAAAGAAGAGTCTTTAACCTCCAAACTGTCTTTTTTCTCACTTTCTTACTGCTGAAGGGTGGCTAGGCACGTGTTTCTAAGCAGGCTGGTTGGAGGGGGGTGGGGAAAGCCATCTCTGGGTTAAGATCAAATTTAGAATGTTTCAGCCCCTAAGGGGAATTTTTTGAAAGCTACAAGCAACTGAAAACAGACTTTACACTGTTAATGTTATTTGTGTATTTAAATTGTGGGGACAGGAAAAGCTTTTGGGGTAAGAAATGTTGAAACAAGCTCCATGTTGCAAGAATCACAAGATGTATAACTGTAATTATCACGAGTACTTAAGCACTGTATATAAAAAAAAAAAGTGAAAATACTCCCTAGAATTCCTCCTACAGTGCCTTTGTGCTACAGGACCCTGGGAGTCCCTCCCTTGTGTTTGAGCCCAGATGTCATGTGGAAACAGGACAGCCTCTGCTCCCTCTTCCAAGGGCACTCGGCTCTTTTCTGCACATTACATGCATCAGGAAGGGAAAAGTTAATTGGCGTTGTGCATTCAACGTATATCGCTCAAAACCTTAAGTCAAGTCCCCAAGGCCTAGAGTGACTCTAAAAAAAAAAAAAGAAAGAAAAAAAAAGAAAAAAAAAGTTAAAAAAAAAAGTTTAAAAAAAAAAATGATCCTCTTTAATATGAAGTTACAGCTTTCCATACTCTGAATTAAACTCATAAACTTCCAGTAGAAACTCATTAAGCCATCATGAAGTTGCAGCATAGACTCTTCAGGTCTCTGGCCTATATTTACTGAATCAACCTGAGGGCTAATTCCAAAAGTGAAATTTTCCCCACTGTAGATAAAGATCAAAGGCTCCTTCTGAGCTTCAGAGAAGCATGGTTACGGTTTCTGTAACAAACAACGCATAAGGAATGAAGTGGGTAGTGTCTCCTCTGGCCACTTCTGGATTCCCACACCAGACTTATTTTCAGTCCTGGATGAACTGGGTGAATTTGGCAGCAGCGTGGGGCCTCAATCTATAGGCTGGGGATGGGTATGTACATTCTCATGTCAACCCTGTGGTAAGCTTTTGTAAAAAGCTCATCACAGCTCCAGTAAATAGAAGTCCTAAGGGTTCAGGTCTTGTGCAGCCAGAAGAAAAACTGTAGGAATATTTTACTATTTTAGAGATGTGATTGCATGTTGGTTTATTTTTCTGTTCACTGTGGAAAGGAACATGTGGAAAGGAAGAGAATGTTTGGAGAAGATAGAGGAGGCAAAGGGGAGAGAAGCAGTGAGACTCTTAAGCTGCTGGTATGATTTGAAAGATCTAAAGTCCAATATCTTAGCTTTAACATTCTCTTCTCAGTAGCAAACAGTGAGAAGCATTCACTGGGAAATCAGGGGAGGAAGAACCTGCGCCAAAAAAAATCTTTATTTGCACTTAGCTCCTCTGGAGTGGTTTGAGCTCATTCTCCAGCTGCGTGGTCCTAAGGGGAGATGGGGTAAAGGAATGTGGGATGGGGTCAGAAACATTTAAGACCTCTCAGCAAATCTTTACAGATATTCCTGATGTGGTTTGTGGAAAATTATTTTGCTTCTTTTTGAGGCTGTCCTTCTTGCATCACACATAGGATACAGAAAGAAAATGCTATGTGCATTCTTATAGTAGATAACCTTGCAATTGCAGTATTTTTTTTTTTTTCCTGAGGTAAAGCAGGAATTCATATAGATAAACTAGCCAACAACAAACACATGCAGGCCCAAAAAGACATTTATAAATATAAAGGAGAAGAAAGGATGTGATTTTTTGATTCTCTTTTTTTGGCCCCTACTGCCTGTGTGCTCAAATTAGTGGTGTTTTAATTTAAAACTACACAGTTCATTGTGCTTATTAGTCAATACTACTGAATGGCACTCAGCTGCAGTGTTTTAAAAGTAGCTGTGCAGGACTGAGGCAGAGTAACAAGTGAGAGTTGAGTACATTGGATCACGTTGGGAGGCAGCTGGAAGGCCTCATTCCCTTCATTTTTTTGTTTGTTTTTGCTTTTTTGGAGGAAGGAAGAGGTGGGAATATGGCAAGGAAGCAGGTATGTGGAAAATATCAGGAGGCAAATGGGGGAAAATTGCCCTTTGGCTGAAATGAGAAGTGCCGCTAACAATTCCTCAGTCTTCTGACTTTGCATGCTTTTGGCACTTATGTTTGCAATGGTCAGGACTGCATTTTAACAAAATATCCACGAGTTTCCTGCAGAATTCACATCTCAGATGTTTTGTGCTGGTGGTTTAGAGATGTTTTTCCCTTAAAAGCACATAGAGCACTCTGTGTTTGTGATCAGGCTGTTGAGATGTCAGGGCTGATTACGCTGCTATGTTCCCAAGTGAATAAATGCATCTCTTAAGGAGTACCCTGTTGAGATCAACAAAGTAAGATGCTGGCATGGTCACTTGCAAACTACTTAAAGGAAAAATGATAATAAAAAGCAGAAATGGGAGAAACTTATTAGGTCACTTCATCCATTCAACAGCACTGCAGTGTGTGTGTGTGTATATATATATATATATATATATACAAAATTATATTATACTTATTTAATATTTTATATTACAGAGTGATTTCTTTTTTGTCAATCCAGTTCCAGATGTGTGAAAAATTGGGTCTCCAATGCTTACTTCCTTTAAATTACACTTTTTTTTTTTTTGCACTACACTCTCACTCTTCTTCAGTTCTATTTTCAAGGCCCTCAATGATATAAATTTTAGCCAGACTCTGTGGTTAAACTTTGTTTCCAAATAGTCAGAGTAATTTACATTCCATCTCTGAAAGTGACACTGAAGCTGAGGAGCCAAAGTCTCACCAACAGGAACGTGCCTTGGCTGTGAGCATGGCCTTGCTTTGGGTGCTGGGGTGACCCAGCAGGCTGCCTTTCCTCTGCCCGTACACATGTTTGCACAACACCAAGCACAATGCTGACCCAATTTAGAGAAAAGGCCCCAGCACAGGCAGGTCAAATTTCTTCTGACGTGGGTCTGTTGGTGTAAGAATGCTCAATTTTTAGTCTCTGAAAGGCAGAAACTCTAATATCTATTGTTTTGCTTCCATGAGGGAATTTAGCATAGTCGTGGTGACTGCAGCACAAAGGTGATGATTGCTTTGCTCAGAAGTGAGGCTGTGGAAGAACAGAAGTATGCTGTGGGGAAATCTGCTAGATTTGAAAAGTCCACTTCTTAATGTAGGGATTTTGTAATTTTGATGAAATTTACTGAATGGAAATGTGTTTCAATGATGTTGGAAATGAGCAAGCAGAAGAAAGCATTTCCCTGGGTATTTGCAGTATGCTTCTAGCACACACAATGGTTTGTGATAATTATTTTTGCCTTGTCTTAATATTGGCAAAATTTTTCAAGATTTCTTTAAATAGAGGCAATGATGCATGTGGATTTTTCATAGGTGTTGTTTAATTTTTTTCCTGGACTTTTCAGAATAAATTAAGGCAGCTGAATGTAGTCTAAGTAGAATAACATGATTTTAAGAAGGTATAATTTCACTTAACCTACAAAGTGTATAACTCCTTCTGCATAAAGTTTGGCATCTGACTCATTTTAACAAATATTATGTAAAACATAAAATGTGTGAATTATTTAGCTTAGAGTCACTTCGTCTTGACTTTATTAATTTGATTTTCAACTTTTTAACTCTCCCATTTCACTTTCTTCATGTTCCTTTTTCTTCTTACTGTTTCCTCTTTGTGTTCCATCTCACACAACACCTGAGGTCTGCAGTTACTTGGTGTGAAGTAGGAGTTAAACATGGTGGCAAACCACACTTCTACTGTATGGATCTAGGTCAGGCCCACCATGTTTCAGACACTGGCCATCACGTCAGAAGGTCTGGGCCATGCTAGGCAATAAAAACTCTTATGTTAAACACCCAGAAATCAGAGTTTCAGTGAGTTCACTTGTGAAAATGTGTGATGGTAACTGTTAGGGCCATGATGACACTTATGGTCATTTTTATGAGAAATCCTTTTTGCTTTTACCAAGTTGGATCCAAAGCCCATAAAAATCAAAGGAAAACAAGGACATACATAGATGATGCCCCTGGTGCTTGCTGCTGAGATGTTTTTGTAATTATCTATCACTGGGTAGCAGAAAGCACAAATGGTTATTGTGGCAATGAGTCCCTGGTGCTCCCAAAAGGGCTGAAGTCCTGTGGCAGATTCTTTATGTGGAACAGACTCTTGTAGCCATGTTCTGCAGAGGATAATTTGGTAGAAACTTGCTCTGCTGTTTTGAGTGTTTGGTGTAGTCACTTGGTTGGCCCAGCAATGGTAAAGCAGCCACATGGCGGCTGGGCTGGCAGCAGAGCTCCTGCATGTGCTCATTGAGGGCTGCCATGGGTGCTGGGTGCTGCTGAGCACGTCCCTGCCTGTGATGGCTGGTGCACCTCTGTGGTTCTGGGAAAGCACTTGTCTATAAAATGGGCTAAATGTAGGCAAGACCTATAATCTGTAAATAAAAGCATAACACTTGGCATTAATGCTGCTGCTGAGTTCCAGTTTTAGATTTGACTCAGTTTTTAAGAAAGATCTAGAGCCAGAAGACAGACCCTTATCCCTTATCTTATTTCATCTCAATGAAATAAAATCTCATTGCCCCATTTTCCTCAATGAAAACCACACAGTGGTGTTCAGCAAGGCTCCCAAAGCTTTTGAAGATTACCAGATAACCCTCTTGACCTGAAGAAGGGAGAGTGTCATGGAGAAAGCAACAGTTAATGACCTGGGTGGGCTAATTGCTGTGTGTGTTCACTGTTCCCCACTCTCTCTGAGACCTCCATTATCCTTCCTAAGTGCACTTTGGCTCTTCAGAGAGTCCCTTTCTCCCTCTTCAGAGTATTTTGCCCCTTCTTTCTTTTTGGTCATCTTCAAAGGACCAAAAAGGAATGTGAAACTGGTGGGCTCTGAGGGGCATAAGCGTATGGGAGATGTCTGAGGAATAAGAAATTAAGGCTGAAATGTGAGCAAGGGAGTTCAGAATGTTCTACGCCCTCATATAAAGGCAGCTTATGGCCTGCACACCTGGAAATGTAGTCTGTGATGGCTGATTCATAAGTTGGCGTGGGCTGTTCACTGGAAGGGTGACAGATCTGAGACCTCACTTACTGTTAACAAATGCTTCTACTTGTGGTTCAGCAGCTAGTGTGCCTCCTGCCCTTCAGACTGCACTGCCTACAGGCTCTGCAGACGTACTGTGTGAGACCTTAGATCACTGTTACTATCTTTTCTAATTGATCAGCTGCAGCTGCTTCACTATCTACAATTATGAGCAATAACACGTCTGCTTGTTTACAAAATGAAAAAGTCTTTCTCTCCTGCAGTTGTCCTTCTCATGGAAAAGGTTTCACCTAGAACACGCTCTAAACCTGCAGCAAGGCAGGTCTGGGCACCCTGCTGTGCCTGCCTGCCCTTCAGACTTGTGACATGTAGACACCACTGATACCAGTATTAACCTACATGCTGCAGGTCTTATTGTCTGTGTCAGTAAGATCTTGTCTCCTCCTTTCTTGTATGTAATAAGAGCCATCAAAGGCTTGGAAAACTTAGAGCATGAGCTGAGAATGATGTGAAGGAATCACTTATTAGTAGAAAGCAGATTTATAGCTGAATTTTTCCACTAATCCAAAACCCATCTGCTTGATACCCTGTTCTGGGAACAGATTTCAGAGTGGTTGGTTCTGAAATACTGATCTAGTACTGAAATTCTGATCTAGTGTTAATGTTGAGTTTATTGAGAGATGTTTTGTACATGTGGGAATACACGAAAACTTGCTGGGTGGGCTTTGTTTCTTTGTATGTGGAGCTTTTGTTTTTCAAATTAAAAGCTTAAAGTTCTGTTGATAATTAGGGCAATATAAAATTCCAGCATATAAATATAAGCACGTTCCAACAGTGCTTCAAGGGATGCTGCTGACTTGTCAGCAATTTGAATGCAAAAGCAAAACAATTCAGACCAAATAGCTTTGGCTGGCACTCAGATCAAATGGAGAGATGTTTTCCCTTTCTCATTAAATCTGGCAGTAAGGACAGTGATTAATAGCTATTAAAGGCACTAAAGCTTGAAAACATTAGTCAGCTTCTTTCTCTGGAGGCTGTAGTTGAGAGAAAACTGGGCTTTGGGATTCCTGCTTCCTGTCTGTTGAACCATGAAAGTGTGTGCCAAGGGCTCTTTGAGTGTCTAGGAGCTCTGAGCTGATGGCAGATGTGCCCAATGCACACCTTCTCTTGCTCTCTTCTGAGACACTGATTGCATTTTAAATATGATGCTATTATTTCTGATGCACCTTTATTAAATGTACAGAAATCAAATATGCCTAATTAAATCATTTGTAGGTCTGGTTTAGCAACCGCCGTGCTAGATGGAGGAAGCAGGCAGGAGCCAACCAACTGATGGCTTTTAACCACCTGATCCCAGGAGGGTTTCCACCCAGCGCCATGCCGACTCTGCCGACATACCAGCTCTCTGAGCCGTCCTATCAGCCCACCTCCATACCGCAAGGTACAGTAGCAAACAGGTACTTGGCTAGAGAGTGCTACTGGGGCCTGCATGTGTTAATCCACTGCAGAAACGTTTTCTTCTCAAAATATAGAAAAAAGGACATTGGCTACTTTAGGGACTGACTCGCTGATGACCTTGCAAGTCTGCTTATTTAAAACATGTAAGGATTCTAATTTGTTTTGCTGCAAGAAAGAGCTGGTTCCATCTGAAAGGTACTATCTTTAGAGAAATAATAGCCTCATGCATTGCAGAGGTGTGGTGTGAAAGATGCAGCAGTTGCGTCCTGTCCTCTTTGTTGCTTTTGATGGTGATGCGCTGAAACTTCAGTAAGTACTCCCAGCTTTTCCCAGTGAAAATAATCTGCAATTAAGACCATTGTTTTGCATCAGATAGTAGCAAGTCTCAGCATGGTAAGAATTTGTCATAACCTTACCAGAAATTCTGTGAATATTGGTAGACTGGAGCAAGGGAAATAGATCTTTAAATCTAGTCTTTACTAGATTTTGCTGTTAATAAGGAAAATCCTTACAGGAGAGATTGTATAAACCAAGTTACCATATCCTCCTTGATCTCTCTATGAGATTTTTATGCTACCTGCTGTTGAACGTTGTTGCCAGATTATCTAAGGAATGGAATTTTTGAAAGCCCAGGACTTTTCCCATCCATTGTTAGTTTCACTACAAATCACAGCAGAATTTCTGTGCTGTGACTGGAAAGGGAAAGCCTGTCTTCTACACAAATTAAGCTTTTCTTTTATATGTAAGCTTATATGTGTGTATGTACGTGCTTATATATAATTATATAAGTCATCTAAAATATACTTTTTTCATATGTTATATATAATTTTGTGGTGTCAGTTCTAAGCAATGCACTTGCTGAGAATTGTCTGAAAACTGCGAGTTTGTTTTGGCTTTTATGGTCTATTTAATAATGACGATTTCATGGAATTTTTATGTAATTTTACTGGCCAGCTAGATATCTAGCAGTGTTGAAGGCTTACCATTCTATTTAATCAGTACTTCCATGCAGGTTCTGATGAAATGATATCAAGTTGATCTTCACATAATGAACTTATTACACTAGAAAAAGAGGAGGGAAATGATCAACGTGTTTCTTTTCCTTCCAGCCGTGTCTGATCCAAGCAGTACAGTCCATAGACCTCAGCCTCTCCCTCCAAGCACTGTACACCAAAGCAGCCTCCCTTCGAACCCAGAGAGCAGCTCTGCCTATTGCCTACCCAGCACCAGGCATGGATTTTCCAGCTATACAGACAGCTTTGTGCCTCCGTCCGGGCCCTCAAATCCCATGAACCCTGCCATTGGCAATGGCCTTTCACCTCAGGTCAGTCCTGTGTTTTCAGACAGAGGATTTGCTGTATACCAGAACCAAAGAGTCTATTCCCTCAGGCCACAGTATAATGAATTGCCAAATTTAAACCATAATGTATTCTTTATATAAGCCACATGATTTCAGTTTGCTAGTTTCCTTCTTTTTTATTTTTTTTCTTCCTACTGGCAGAATCAAGAGTCATAGCTTATATTTAATTTCAAGTGATTTATAAAGTAATCATGCAGGGTTTGTGTTTATATTCAGTTGTTAGGCGTTGGTAATGTACTGCTATTTTCCTGAAGAATCAGTGCTAGGTACAGAAAGTAGATCCTGTAGCTTTTGCGTGAACAAAATCTCTTTAAGATAACCTCACAAGGGTTTTACCAGATCCTACGGGAAAACTGCAGGCAAGTGGTGCTAGGAGAGTTCTGAGGGCTGAACACTACACTTTGAGATGAGCTATAATCGAGTTATAAATACATAAATTAGGAGCATTACTGCTCTTCTGCAATGTATAAATGCATGACTACCATAATTGTTTTTCTAATTTGCATGAGCTCTTCTTAGGAAATCACGTTAATAAATTGCCTTGATAATTGAGTGTCAAAAGGTTGGTTAAATTTTCCTACATGAGGCATCTGTTTGAAGCTGACATTATTAGTTAAACTTAAATAGACAGTAGTTTATTTTATTAGCGCTTTGCCCAGGTGCTCGGAAAGAGATGTCCACTAAATTCTGAGAAGTCACAAAGAGGATGCAATCTATAATTACAATCAGGAATCTCTTCAGGGCTGAAAGTGAGAGTTTTAACGGCTTTATCTGCTTTCCACCCTTTTTTCCTCGAAGTGGTTAGAAAAACAGAGAGAAGCTCAGAATGACACAAATGAAAAGTGAAAAGACAATTATACTCAATTACACACTAATCACCGACTATCACCACTGCCTAAGCAGGGAGAGGGCATTCTAATAGGCAGAAAATGAGATTTTAATGGCACAAAGGGTGGCCAAAATAACGACTCGTATATCTTTGCCTCCTTCGTTTTCTTCAACTTGTGGTTTGCATCTTGGGAGTACAGTTCCTGGTTCCTGTGCAACGGTGATAACTCTGTGCAGCTGAAAAGTTCAAAGGCACTGGAGTTGAAAAGAATGAATAACAAAGGCAATGAAATAAACATTTTTGCCCAAAGGCAAAAGTTCATAAACCCTTTTTTGTAACAGTAAATGTAATTAAGTTTCACAGATTCCTATAGCATAGAGTGGAGTACAAAACTTTATGGCTTGAAACCTCGAGAAAAAAATACCAACAGAAAAAACAAACGGATGTACTTCCAACAAGACCTGAATGGATTTTGTTCGAAAGAATTCTCATTTCTAAATGCAATCTTCAACAAAAGCCATGACTTTTTTAAAATGGTTGGTTTCATAGTGTGCAAGGCTTCCACAGTTTGGATATAAATATCTTCCTAGGATTGAGCGTTAATCCATCAAAGGTAGTTGTTAGTGTCAGTTTAAATGTATGTTGGTTCTGGCTATGGAAAATGTGATCTTTTTTTTCTTTCACAAAGCTTTTATTGTCTGTGACACAGAAGTTGAGCGCAACAGTAAAGAAATCTTGTGATGTCTGGGCAAAGTGGAACAAAACAGTGAGGCCAGGCTTCCTCCCCCCAAAGTCTTGCTGATTTGAGGTTTGATATAATCAAAAGGAGATTCTGGAGCAGATTAGGCTTCTTTTAATCAGTTGCTGGGCTTCTTTACACCCAGCTCTGTCTTTATGCTATGCAACTTCTGCTGTTTTTTTTTGTTTTTTAATTTTCTGCTCTAAAACTTTTTCTGCCCTGGTCTTTAGAGCTGCTGTTATTCTGCACCTAGTCTGTTTATTTTGCACCTTTACCAGCAAGTTTAGAAGGAGGCTGATCATTCAGAAATTGATGGTATGTGTTCATCACTGAATATATACAGGTGATCGCTTATATTCGCTTAGATGTTAAACAGCTTCTTGACAATGGAATGATGAACCTGACTGGCTGATAAATATCTTTCCATCACCTTACAGCAAACAAACAAACAAACAAATGAAAAAGTAGCCCTAAAATACTCATGTATTGTTACCAATAGCACCTCTGAAACAGTTTTGGGGCCTAAGTGATAACGGAGACACCTTGGGATTAAATGACATACCCAGGGTTTGTGTCTTTACAACTATTCTGTCTTCTTTGTTGCATAAAACTATTCATAATGTGAAACAACTCTGATTCCAGAGAAACAATGATTGTGCTTTATGCCTGAAGGATGAGACCAAGACATTGATCACATCAGTGCTATGCTACTGAGTGTAAGATGTATTTCAATTGGTTTTGAGGGGTCCCAGAGGATCCCCTTGCTGGGCTTCCTTGGAACCTGTGCACCACAGGTGTCTGAGTGTAGCCAGGAAGTTTAAAGCCAGTTCTGCACTGGTGATTTTATTAAGAAAGAAACAGGAATTTTGCTGTTGAGTGGGCACGTTGCAGTGCCCTGCATGTGTGTGGAATTTAGATGAGAGTGAGAGGATCATTTTGCTAGCTGGTGGATTTCTGACCACAGTAAGTCTGGGTGTGTGAGCAATTAAATCATGTTTTCACCCATCAGTGTCTCTCTCAGAAAAGCACTTTGGATATACTGTGAATAACTGAATTTACAGTGACTTCAGTGGGAGGGAGAAGATGGGGGCTTTGTCTGAACCCAAATAATCTTTTGTGAGTAAAAAATAAAACCCTCAGAATTTGCAGAACAAAATCTAATATTAAGATTCGTAGGATTATAGTCTTACCAGACTTAAACCTCCTCTTCCCTTTTAATTTTTGTTCCAATTGGGGGTTTGACATGCAGACCTCTGGGGATGCTTTATTTGCTGTGCGGGATGTTTCCTTTCTAACGTTGTTCTTGGTATGATGGACTGACATGTTGTTCAAGGCAAGCACTGGGTGAAGCACAGAAGAAAAGGGGAAATGACTGGGGTGCTGTAACTTTATTTTTATCACTTCAGCCATGAACTTGGAAGTTAGAGAATTGTACATCTTGCTCAGTTTTAAGAAGCAGAACTTAATGTAGCTGTCTCGCAGGATGGTAGTTTACTGGGAAATAAAATGGTATTCTTGTTCATAAGAATGAGAGAATAGGAAGGGTCCCACCTGGTTAACATTCAGCCCTTTATTACATCGTAGCAAAATCTGCAGATCCCTTCTGGATGACGGATGGCTCTCATTGTGCATCTGGTTTCCTCGCTACCACCTGGCTGTGGTGAGAACCTGGCCTGCAGACCTGTCGAAGATAGGCTTCTGCAGGAATAAACTAGTGATGGATGTCTTGGGGAACTGATAGCTAGGAGTGTCCTTATTTGTATCGAATAGAAAAACAACCAAACCACAAGCACTCCATCTCAGCCAGCGCTCTATAAATATAATGTCAGAACAGAGATTATTAGTGTGTAATATATGTAAATCGCACATTTTTTATGTCTTCTATGCCTATTATGCAGCTTCTTGGCTTTCATGCATACATTTATGGGGATATTGTATTTCCTTTTCAAATTAGGTTTCAGTTGCTTAGTGCATTTTCTTATAACAAAAATTGGTTAACTCGGAATTGTTAGGGAACAGCATATCTGTAGGTTAATGTGTGTGTGCAGGAGTTGAGCGTGCCTCTGAACTGCCACAGCACTTTCTGAGTCCGGCATTAACAATCACCCTGCTTCTCTGGCTGTAAAGCAGAAGACGGACTGCCATAACATTTGTCTTGCAAGAGCTGCAGGTGTTTGGCCTTACAAGAGAGCAGATTGTTTTTAAGACAGGATTTCAATATTTTGAACTGCTTCATTTAAGACAAGGAAAAGGTCTTTTCCGGTGTACATGGGCATCCCTTGACCTTGTCATGTGCTTTTTATTAATGTCAAAGCAGCACAGTTTGCCCTACACAGTTTGCAGGTTTGGAAACGTGCTGTTTCTAGCTGCTCGTAGGTTCAGAGTGAGCAGCAACACTGTGCTCACATTGCTGCCCATGAGGCTACTTGCTTCCTGCAGTTAACTTTTAGGATACTCTGGTAAATTTTTAACAGAGAAAGAACAAATGTGTACAACCTGTATCCTGCTGGACATCAGGTTTTCTTTTCCTCCTTGCCCTCTAAAAATTTCTTACCTCTACTTCTTCCTTATTATCTTTAACTGAACCTAAGTAGTAGCTCTAAAGACTGTACGTTCTAAATGGAAAGAGGATTGAATGTTGAATGTGGAGAAGACCACAATATTCTTGAAAATACTTTGCAGTTCTCATGCAATTACCTGGAGCTCCAGACTAATCTTGATAAGAAAATTCCAAGCGTTTCTGTGAACAGTAGTAAAATTGCCAGCTGTTTCAGGTTTTCTTTCTTTTACTGTCAAAACATTTCACTGCCTGAGTTTAAGAATTAACTTGTAACTTCTCCTGATGAGATGGATCCTAGGTAACTGGCGTTAGTCTTTGTAAGCACTGGTTTTCATTAACCTGAGGTGTAGACCTGGCGGCAGCTGTCGAATCAGTTAGATATATTCATACTGTCCTGTTACCTCTGCTAAAGAGAACGCTCTGTTAAAGAATCAACTTGAATTTCCCTATTAACAGGGCAGGAAGAAAAAATACAGGTGTTAATTCATTATGCCTTTTACAATACCTTCTACTTGCTATGCAGCTGAAAACATACTTTTTAGTTCTAAGTTCCTTACCAATCAGAAGCTCATGTTTGGCACAGTGATGTTGGCTTTAAGAACTCTTTACTTAATGACCAAGAACAAGTCAGGGATTTCTCTGTGGGGAAGAAAGTTAATTCACATGACATAATTTTAATGAGAGCAATTTTATTTTATTTTTAGTAAAAATAAATACATTAGATAAAAGAATGAAAAAGTTCAGTCAGTGGGATTATTTCTGTTTCTGGAATATGAGATCAATATACGAGATTCAATAGTTTCATAATTGTTACCTTGCAAAAATAATATCATCAT